GCTCCGGCTCCGCCCCAATCACCAGATATCCGCCCTAGAGATAGTAATTAGTGGGCGGAGCTAGTGCTATGTACCCCATCACACACATACAGAATAGCACTTGCTCCATCCCTAAACACCATGTACCTCTATAGACAGCTAGTGCTATCTCAGTGTATGTGTGTAGGGGATACATAGTGTTTAGGGGTGGAGCTAGTATTATCTATGGTAATTAGCTCACCAAGGGGGTCCACCCGGCCTCGGGGATCCGTGTCCCTTGGGTCTACTGCAGCCAGCTCCACGGCGTCGGGCAGAAAAACAGCCTCCGATAAAGAGAAAAAGCAAATGTGCGCAAAGGCCACAGGGGCTGGGCCGGGCTGGGAAGCTGGGTGGCTCTCGGGCTTTGTGACCTTGGAATGGTGCAGAGCAAAGGAAACCAGCGTGGCCCGAGTCCCTGGCTCAGCCCCGTTTGTTTTGACAGATGCTAAGGGCAAGAGGAAAAAGCTGAGCCCTTTGTTGCACTTACTGGATGCATCTGTGCGGCCGAGGGTCCCTCTCCGCCTTGTTTATCCCCCGCTTCCCAGTGACCTGTGCTGGCAGCGTCGCGTGCTGCGGTCTAGCTGGGAACGAGGCACCTCTCACTGAGACAGGAGTGAACCTCAGAGCAACCGCGGTGAATAGGAGAGAACCGTCGAGTCCCACTCAGCACAGCCCCAGGCCCGTCTGTCAGGTATCGGGGGTAGCTTGTTTGTATCCAGAAAAACAACAAAGAATCCGGTGGCACCTTAAAGACTAACAGATTTATTTGGGCATAAGCTTTGGTGGGTAAAAAAACCCACTTCTTCAGCTGCATGGAGTGAAAGTGACAGCTGCAGGCGTTATATACTGACACATGACGAGAAGGGAGTTACCTCACAAGTGGAGAACCAGTGTTAACAGAGCCAATTCGATCAGGGTGGATGCAGAGCCGGGGCTGGGAGCTCCAGCCGCCTAGTGCAAGTAGGAGGCAACCCAGGCTGAGGAGGGGCTGGCCTGGGCAATGACCCGGCACCTCCCCCTCACCTGCAGTTACCGAACTTTGGAAAAAGTTCCCCTTTGCTAGCGGACTTGTAAACCGGGCACCTGGCCACCTCCCCATTTCACAGAAGGGGAAACTGGGCACAGAGCAGGGAAAACGACTTGCCCAGGTCAGAGCCAAGCTCCCTGAGTCCCAGTGCAGTGCTCTGTCGGCTAGGCTGCCCTGCAGCACTCCCTTGTGGGCTATAAAGGAGACTCGCAGCCTTCTCTAATAAAGACGCTAGCAGCAGAGGAGCGAGCCGAGTCCTCGGGGCTTGACCAAGGCCTGGCTGCTTAGTCTAACTGAGGAAAGTTATTCCTGGTTTGCCGCCACGAGCTCCTTGTCCCTTTTAATTCAGCCATTGCAGGGTTAAATCCTCTCACAGCGGGGGCAGGAAGCAAGCAAGGGAGCTCCGCTCCAGCTTCCCCTGCTGTGGAAACTCAGCATCAGTTCCCTGTGGCTGGCCAAAACCCGAGGAAGCCATTTCCTTTCCAGGGTGTTAGCAGGCAGCAGCTGGCCATGCCATGCACTTCAGAGCAATGAAGGATGAACCCCGCCCCCTGCCGGCTCAGTGCTCAGGACATTGCTGCACGCAGGCCTCGCACCTCCCAGGCACAAGCCCTTCCCCCCCCCCTTCTTCAACAGCAGCTGGACTGGCCCTGCCCCGTGTGCAGGGGCCGGTCCTGCCCTCGCCTCAGGCACCTCCTGCGGCAGAGCAGGGGCGGAGAAGAGGCCTTAGCCGGGGATTTTCAAAGGTGCTTTGGGGAATTACGTGCGCCGCCCCCACTAGATTTTTGCAGGATTGGGGCCAGCTGGGGCAGCAAGGTTTCCAATCTGAGCTCCATGCTTGCCATAACCTGGCTCTCACTTGCCTCTGTAACAAAATCCCTGGCCAGCTGGGCCAGCGATTCAGGCCGGCCCATGTTCCTAGCCATCTCCCTGGAACATCCACTGAGGTCTCCCGTGGTTCACCTGGCATTTGTCATAACCCCAATGCACAGAATCCGTCTGCTGCCACAAACCCAAGCTTGGAAAACGACGCTTTTTGCAGGGCCGGCTGGGGCTCCAAATGCATTTGTCACACGTAGCGGCGTGCTGCCCCTCTCAGAGCCAGCGTGCGGGAGCCTGCCCCTTCTCCGTCCCAGAGAGGTCATGGGCCCAAACTCTAGTCCCACATGGCAGCAAGTGCCTGTGTGGAAAAAGCAACAGCTCTAGGTCGGATGGCAGGGGCGTGGTTATTTTGGGAGTCTCATGTTAGCCCCTCTAAGGACCCTATAGCCACAGCAGTTCCTCCATGGAATCCCTTGCAAAGAGGCCAGGCGGCAGGCAGGGCTGGTGGGGAGATGGGAGTGCTGGGGAGGGGATGCAGCAATGTAACCTATGGAGCAGCCCACGGAGGCTGCTGGAACTCAGCACCCAGAGGTTGTCTAACTCCCACCAGGGGCCTCTCCAGCCCCAGAGCAGCCCAGGATCAGGGGGCGCACAGGTGGCTTACAGTCAACTTAGCTGCCCCCCACCACTGCCATTGGACTGTGAGTTGTAGGCTGCCCCTCGGGCTCTGAGCCCAGCCAATCCTAGCCGTGTTGGCTCTAGCTCAGGGCAGCCCAGCCGCATCAGAGGACAGGCTCTTTGGGTCCACGTCAGAGGGGGAGAGAAAAGGCAAGTTTTAACCCTAGATGGTTGTGGCAGAGAAATGCGCCTCCACCTCTGCCAGCCCCAAGCCAGCACTCTCCACCCACCAGGTTCCTGAGCAGCTGCGTACCTGACCAGTCACGCACGTGTGCAGCTCCCCCGTTTGGCCAAGTGGTAAGTGCACATACAGACATGCACAGGTGATGTGAATTGGGCTCTGGAGTCCTGGGAGAGCAGGCAGAGAGGGGCCAGGGCAGACACCCCATCTGCAGGGGAGCCTGGGGCTTGCTGGGAGAAGAGAGAGGACTGGCACTGTCTGTGTCTCAGGGTATTTATTAGTGACTCAGCTACAGGGAGCTCATGGGCCCATCTGCGGATCACACTGACTGTGTGGAACCCACCGTCCATGGAGCATGTGCAGCCGGGAACTGCCTGAGGTCATGGCCTCCCCTCTCGGGCCGCAAGACTTCTGGCACCCGGCGCACTGCTCTCAGCCCACGTACCGTGCTGCTCTCTCACCAGGGAATAGTCTTCCCTGCCCAGCTCCAGAAGCTCCCGCTGTGTTTCTCGGAGAGGGTAGGAAGCACGGTGAGAATCCCTCGCACGCTTTCATCCACGGGCAGGTCGGCCTGCAACAGTCCAGGAAATTCAGAAGTCAACAGGCTGGCCGGGGGCTGGAACAAAGTGTACAGTGGGGGGGCTGAGCCACTGAACCAAACTGTAATCCCTGGATATGATGGAAACCACTTCAAGCCAGGAGGTATGGCAGCCCCCCAGCATCCAAAGTTCCAGCACCTATGGAAGCTGGACTTGGTTCTCTAGGGCCAAGTCACCCCATACAGTCAGGCCTGGGCACGCTTCCTGCATGTGCATACGCCCACGCTCGCAGACGTGGGAGTTTATCTGTATGTGCTCCTATGGCCCAGCTGCAGAGCCACGAGCGTGTGCACAGTTGGCAGGTGTGCACACAGGTGACTGGTCAGTTACACATACAGGTACCACACACACACACACAGCGGCTGTGCGGGCAGATCAGGCACACGTGGTTCTGGCTTGCAGCTCTGGGCCATGGTGGGTAGTGTGTACTGGATAAGCTGGAAGGCCGGACACGAGGTTGGAGGTCGTGACCTGCACAAGCTTACTTCAAAGGCCCAGGCATCACCGGAGGCAGGGATCAGTTCATGTACTGCTGCAGACAGCTGCTGTACGCTGGGAGGTTCCCGAACCCCAGCCCCTCCCCCGTGCCGCAATTGCTGCTCCCAGGGACCCAACACCCACCTCTTGGGTGCCCATGTCTGTCTGCACCCAGCCGGGGTGAACTGCAGCGCACAGAATCCCGTCCTCTGCGTAGCTCAGCGCCTGGCACTGGGTCAGCATGTTGAGAGCAGCCTGCAGAGGAAGGGCTCGTGAGCCGAGGGCATTACCATGCGCTCGCACTGGCTGTGTTCCCACACACCCAGGCGCAGCTGCACGGTCTCAGGAGAGAGCATAGTGTGTGCGGCTCCTGTGACAGGCAGTAGCGACACTAAGGCCAAAACGCCTGCTCAGTGCTGCGGTGAGGCCATCCCCAGAGCTCTGAGCATGTTAAAGGCACAGCACGTAAAAACCAAGAGCCCCACAGCTACTTCCTGCAAGGTCCTGCCCACCGGCACTGCCTTTGGACACTGCCCAGCTGGAATAGCAGCGTACATGAGCAGGGGATACCACTGCCCCTGGGATCCAGGCTCAGGGCCGTACCTTGCTGCAGCGGTAGGAGATGGCTGGGTTGGAGAACGTCTCAGGGACTCTCTCGATGGATCCCAGAACAGTGGAGATGTTGACAATGGCCGCCTTGCTGCAGCTCAGCCCTTTCTGGCTACTTCCCTGGGCAGCCTTCTTCAGCAAGGGCAGGAACGCCTGGCGGGAAGACGGTCCCATGGGGTCTGTGTGGAGGTAGTACCCCTTCGCTCTCAGAGCTAGCTCCATCCAACACAGTCCCAGGTAGCCCAGGGGGAAGCACAGACCAGAAAAGGAGGGTTTTCAATTAGCCTCAAACTTCTGGGCTCTTCCTCCCCCCCCCCCGAGCAACTGTCCCCCGAGAGCACTCCCAAGCCCCGCGCTAGGTGACGCATGAAGGGGGAGCACAGGACCAAACGCAGAGTTCTGGGCTCTATCCTTGGCTTTGCCACTGACTTATGTGACCCTGGGCACATCCAATATGCCTTCTTGTGCCTCAGTTTCCCATCGGGAACACAGGCACCTGTATAAAGTACTTTTGACAACCAGGGCCAGATTAACCTTTTGTGGGCCTGGCGCCAAACATATTTGTGGGCCCCCATGTAGTTGTTATGGGCCCCGGCCCCTTCTAAGTGTGGCCTGGTGCGACAACACCATAGTATACTCGGTACTGCTGGGATGGGGATGAAAAGTTTTATTTAAACAAAATAAGAGTTGATTGAGATTTGCACTCAGCCCATAGAAAACAAACTCGGCTAGCATCAAGATACCCAGAATACTCTTGAATTTGGTTTATTTGTGTGGGAGGGGTGTTGTCTGTTAGTTTTGTCTTTTTTGTTTAAACACTCAGGGCCTGCTTGTGCTTAACTAGCACATTTATGAGCCACATTAAGCCTGGATGCAGCAATCAGTGGAGTTGCACCTGCATCTCCCCACCTCCACCCAAGTTACATTTCATAAATACATTTTTTGAAAACTGGATTTTCCACTTTGGTGCAATAATGTTTACAAAACTTTTAAAAAAGTTAGTTTTTAGCCTATTTCTCCCTTTGTAGTCATGAGGGGCGGTGAGGCAAGTGAGCCAGTAAAGTTACTGGGGTGGAGTGTGAGGAGCAAAATTGCTGGTGCTCATCTTTTGCTGGGAGCAAGGGCCACTGAGAGAGAGAGACACACACAGACATTACCACCAAAGCTACCACAATCCAGCCTCAAGCCAAGCCCCTACCCCAACCTTCACACCTGGGCTCCCCCCACCCACCCCCCCACACACAAATAACCCCCACCTTCACACAAGGGCTCTCCTCAATCTCCCCCTACCCTGCTACTGCCCACCCCCACCTTCAACCCAGACTATTACCCCCCCCTTCAACCTCCCTCCCTCTACTCCCACCCCCACCTTCAACCCAGACTCTCCCCTCCCTCTCCCCCCACCTTCAACCTCCCTCCCTCTACTCCCACCCCCACCTTCAACCCAGACTATTACCCCCCAGTCACCGCCAGCTCCCCCGTCGCACGCTGACTCGCCCCACAACTGCCCCCTCCGCTCCGCGCAGTGCAGGGGGTGTCCGGCCATCCCCCCGGCACGGGCCCGGCCCGGGGGCACGGGCCCGGCCCGGGGGCACAGACCCAGGCGGGCCCGTGGCTGGCAATGGGACACTCCCCCTGCACCGCTTCCTTTTCTGGCGGGTCCGTTCCCGCCGCCCCCGCGCCGAGGCGGCTGGCCGCAGGCGCGGGGCATTGTGGGACTCGTAGTGCAGGGGGCGGAGCAGTCCAAGGGCCCAGGCGGAACGCCCTGGCGTGCGAACTACAACTCCCAGCACGCCCCGCGACACACGGCCGGGCGGAGGCCTATGGGGCCGCGTGGGGTCGTTACGGGCCCAGCGCCCACAGCCCCAGGGAGGGGCCCACAGATCCGGGTGATTTCCCTGCCGGGCCCGGCTCCGGGCCGCTCCCACCCCGAACCCCGCTGCTCGGGTCTCCCGCCGCTCCGCCAGGCAGAGACCGACCGGCTCTGCCAGCACCACCCCCCGTCCGGTCCGGTCCGGTCCGTCCGGGCGCTGCACTCACTCAGCTGGCGCTAGGAGGGACGTAATTGCACGAATAGCTGTGCACCCTAAAAAGAAAACTCGGACTGTAGCCCGTTGCCGCGCCAGCACGCTCCCTGGTGGCCCGATGGAATGCTGCAGCCACTTCGCCTCAGTTTCCCTCTTGTGTTTTTTGGCCCATTCCAGCTATATACATGACCTGATCCTCTGGCCCAGCCACATGCAAATGTCTGACCCCTTCCGGGGCCACCGAGTCCTTTAACAAGTGCAACAGAAATCCAGAGACAATTTCATCTTCTGTCCAAATGGGGCTCAGTTGGCCGCCCCCCTCCCTTGCAGCTGAGCCTTGGCTAGAATGCAGCAACTTCCCCTCTTTCCTCAGGTGCCTGGGCCTCACTCCCTCCACAGTCTAGGGTTGGCAACGTTCTCTGCCTTCCCAGGGCTCAGGCAGGCGTCACCCCTCAGCAGCTCCTGATTCTCCCTCCAATTCCAGGCTCCCCTCAGGAGCCGACTCCCTGCATCTCTGCCTTTGTGGAGAGCATGAGCACCCAGCTCTCTCCCTACACCAGGGGCCCGCCCTCTGCTCTGTTAATGCCCCCTGAGCACAGGCTGGCCCCAGGTGCATTCGGGGAGGTGACCACCCCTCTCCAGCTCCTCTAACTCTGGTGGTGCTGGTGCGGGGGGTACGCCCCGTCCCATGGACACAGCTGATATCTCCAGTTCTCCAGCTGGAAGCTCAGCTCAGCCCTCCCCTTCTTCCAGAGGTCTCCCTCCTTACACCCGCTCCCTGGAAGTGCAGCAGCATCCTGGCCACTGCAGCCTTACCTGGCCCACCAACATTGGCCCAACCACGTTAGTCTTGTAGGCACCCAGCATCTCTTCGGAATCCACCGTTGCCAGAGACACGTCGGAGAAAATGCCAGCGTTATTTATTACCAGGTTCAGGCCCGAGCCATCCAGCTGCTCCTCAACCCTCCGGGTTGCTTCCTCAATGCTTGCTGGATTCACGGCGTCTGTGAAGAGGGTGGAGGGGCTGTGAGGTTAGGGGTACCGAGAGCCCTTTGTTGAGTTACAGGCGCTGAGATCTCTGGGGGTGCAGGCTAGCCCTCCAGTGCAGTGAGCCCAGTTGGTGAGCCGCACTCCAGAGTGTTCACCTCACCATAGGCACTTCAGTCCCCAAGCAACGGCTGCTCAGACAAGCATCTCCGGAGAGACCCTGAGCGTCTGTCCATGCAGCCTGCAGCAGCGCGCCTGGATCGACAGACTGGGGCTAGCTGGTCTTGCGCCCGCGTTCCCAAACCAGCTGTGCAGACAGTGCTCTGAATTCGCGGCTAAGATGAGAGCTGGGGCTCTGAACCCGAGGAAGGGGGCTGGAAACTTAGACATGGGCAGCACAGATTCCACATCACTTTGGGGTGGGGGAGACCCTGTCCCTTCTCTCTGCAGTTATCCTCATGGGTCCTGTGCTGGAGAAATAGCCATGGGGCAGTTCCAATCCATGCAGATCCCCAGAGGTGCCAGGACGGAGCGGGAGGGTTAGACAAACACAGCTAGTAAAGCACAATTTCTGCACTTAGCCTTTTGGAAGCAAGAACTCTCCCTGCTGTGAACGGGCTGGGGAGGCTGTCAGGATGCCAGAGGAGGAGCGCAGAAGGAGAGGATGAGGGGAAGGATGCCAAGAAGCAAGTCTGGGTCCTAGATAAACCCAGTCACCTGGCAGTGACCTTGGGCTCTACCTCACAGACGCACTAACCTTGCCATCTCCTTGCAGGCACCAGATGGCGCTCTGCTGCTGGGAGAAAGAAATGCAGCGCATAGGCTGGCGCACCACCCATCTGGTACCAATGAGCGCTGTGAGGGCCATCAAAGCAGCGCTGTGCAGGAGTCACTACACCCGGATCTGGGACCCCCCTGGGCACCTCCTGGTGTAAATGCACGGCGCCTCAGGCCAGGTCTGCACGATAACCTCACAATCGGTGTGACCACGCTGCTCAGCCACTGCCCTGCGCGACTCAGTCCTACCAGCCTAGCCTCTGGTGTGGACAGCGCTATGTGGGCGGGAGGGCGTCTCCACGGACACCGCTTGGGCCGCTCGCGGAGGTGGAGTAACCACGCTGACGGGAGACGCTCTCCCCACAGTGCAGCAGTGTCCTTAGTGAAGCGCCACAGAGGCACAGCCATGGGTGGCGGGTGGAGCCCCCCTTCGGGGAGGCTAGTCCCCCTGGCCTCACTCCTTCTGCCTGAGGCCCCCCTCCTGGAGAAGCCCTGAGCACCCCTCCCTCCAGGACTGGAGCCCCACCCTTCCTGGAGAAACCCCAGCTATGCCATGCCTCCCCTCCTGAGACCCCAAGCCACCCCGTGGGAAAATCTCGAGTCTCTTCCCAAAGAACCTGAGCTTTTTATATGCCCCATGCAGATTCCGGGGCAGCTGACGAGATCCCGGACCTGAGTGGCAGATGGGTTTCAGGAAGCTTGGCACAGCTGACTTTGCAGCAGTGCACAGAGAGTTGAGAAACACAGGAGTGGCTTTGGGGGTTAGCAGCTGAACGTGAGAGCTGCTTTCGGGGAGTCTAGTGCACAGGCCCAGGAGGGGAACAGCCCCACAGCTGGAGCGCCCAGACTTGCAGGGAATCGTTCGGCGGCAGAGCACATACCTAGCTTCACCATCACCAGGTTTGGATGTTTAGAAACCAGATTCCGCAGCTCCTAAAAAAGAGAAACATGGAGAACAATGGAAAGCTGCAGCAGAAGGCAGAGGTAAGGGCCGGGCTACGGCCCCAAAGCCACATACGAACTGAGGGCCAGAGTCTGTCTCCGTAGAGTGTGGCAGTACTGCCCAACTGCTCCCACTGATTTCAGGCCGATGGTAAGTGTATCATAGAATCATAGAAGATTAGGGTTGGAAGGGACCTCAGGAGGTCATCTAGTCCCACCCCCTGCTCAAAGCAGGACCAATCCCCAACTAAATCATCCCAGCCAGGGCTTTGTCAAGCCGGGCCTTAAAAACCTCCAAGGAAGGAGATTCCACCACCTCCCTAGGTAACCCATTCCAGTGCTTCACCACCCTCCTAGTGAAATAGTGTTTCCTAATATCCAACCTAGACCTCCCCCACTGCACCGTGGCACGTCTGTGTCCATGAGGGACTGTACTCGCACATGTGCACAAACACACTTACTTACCCTATTTGCTTCATTGTCCCACCAGCTTGGACAGGCTGGGTGAGAAAGGCAGAGAATCAGTCCCGGAGTTAGGGGTTGGGTCACAGGAGCAATATTTACAATAACACGCAAAACTGAGCCCGAGCAAACTCCCACTGAAGTCCACGGGAGTCTCTCTGTTGACTTTAATGGGAGTTGACTCAGGCCCCTAGACACCGGGACAGATCTGGAGAACAGGGAGATTCCCACAGTCCTCCATATTCAGTCACACACAAAAAGCCCTACGCTGAAAGAACATTATGGCTGCAAAGTCATGCACTCCAAAGTTAGGCCACGCTGGCATGTCGAGGACCATCCCAGTTAGAAAATGGTGAGTGTTGCATTTTTTACTTACTAGATGGTTAAGTTTTTACTTGTGATTTGTATCAAGCTCTACTTGGAAGGCAATTCAAATTAATGTAAAATGTGCAAAACCAGCATTTTTTGGTATTAGTTAAAATAAAACTACTTTAAATGTGCTGGATACATAAGAAAAATCATTTATCAAAAATATTTACATTTAAAAGTGATTTATTAAAACAAAGGAAGTATTTGTAGTTAGTGACCTGAGCTGATGGTTTCTGGTACCATTTTCCACAAGATTTTAGGACTAGCAGATCTCATCCTCTCAAACCTGGAAGAGGAAAACAAGCTTTTCTGTTTTTCCAGCTCCCAAGTTGCTTCTTAACTAAGAAAGAACTAGTCATTGAACTTTAAGGAGTTAAATAAACTGATATGAGGAAGATATTCTTTGCACCTGCTGAAGAGGCTACTGCTGTCAAAAGCCGGGTTAGCACTTCATAAAAACATAAGAACGGCCAGACTGGGTCAGACCAAAGGTCCAGCCAGCCCAGTATCCTGTCTGCCGACAGTGGCCAATGCCAGGTGCCCCAGAAGGAATGAACAGAACAGGTAATGATCAAGTGATCCACTTCAGCAAACTCTGGTTCCAGGTGCCTAGACAGTGACTTCCCCAGTTCAGCAGTTTGACTTGCTTTAACGCTTGGTAGCAAAGCAGAACTGGTGAATATTATTTTTTCTGTTTAATTTAAATGATTTTAATAGATTCTAATAAATTTAGGCCTTAAATTTCAAATTTAATTTACAATAGGTTTATTTTTAAAAATTGAACCTGTATTTAATTTAAATTAGGGCTGTCAAGCTATTAAAAAAAATGATCGCAATTAATCATGCGATTAAAAAATATCAATCATGAATAATTGTGCGATTAATCGCACTGTTAAACAATAATAGAATACCATTCTTTTAAATATTTGTGGATGTTTTCTACATTTTCAAATATATTTATTTCAATTACAACACAGAATACAAAGTGCACAGTGCTCACTTTATATTTATTTATGATTACAAATATTTGCACTGTAAAAAACAAAAGAAATAGTAGTTTTCAATTCACCTCATACAAGTACTATAGTGCAATCTCTTTATCATGAAAGTTGACCTTACAAATGTAGAATTATATACAAAAATAACTGCATTCAAAAATAAAACAATGTAAAACTTTAGAGCCTACAAGTCCTCTCAGTCCTACTTCTTGTTCAGCCAATCGTTCAGACAAACAAGTTTGTTTACATTTGCAGGAGATAACGCTGCCCACTTCTTGTTTACAATGTCACCTGAAAGTGAGAACAGGCATTCACATGGCACTGTTGTAGCCGGCGTCGCAAGATATTTAAGATTCATATGTCCCTTCATGCTTCAACTACCGTTCCAGAGTACATGTGTCCATGCTGCTGACCGGTTCTGCTCAATAACAATCCAAAGCAGAGCGGACCGACGCATGTTCATTTTCATCATCTGAGTCAGATGCCACCAGCAGAAGGTTGATTTTCTTTTTTGGTGGTTCGGGTTCTGTAGTTTCCACATTGGAGTGTTGCTCTTTTAAGACTTCTGAAAGCATGCTCCACACCTCGTCCCTTCCAGATTTTGAAGGCACTTCAGATTCTTAAACCTTGAGTCGAATGCTGTAGCTATCTTTAGAAATCTCACATTGGTACCTTCTTTGCGTTTTGTCAAATATGCAGTGAAATTGTTCTTAAAATGAACAACATGCTGGGTCATCATCTGAGACTCCCATAACATGAAATATATAGCCGAATGCGAGTAAAACAGAGCAGGAGACATACGATTCTCTCCAAGGAGTTCAGTCACAAATTTAATTAATGCATTATTTTTTTTAAAGAGTGTCATCAGCATGGAAACATGTCCTCTGGATGGGTGGTTCAAGCATGAAGGGACATATGAATCTTTAGCACATCTGGCACGTAAATATCACAATCTCCTTTGAGAACAGGACCTTTCGTAAGCTGGAAAAGTACGCTCCCCTGGCCGACACCCTGAGAGCGAAGGACTTCGAGGGGCAGATGGACACCCTGATCGTTGGAGCCCTGGGTGCCTGGGACCCCTGCAACGAGCGTGTGCTGTGGACCTGCAGGATCGGTCGACGCTACGCACGGCTCATGAGGCGCCTCATGGTCTCAGACACCATCCGATGGTCAGGGGCGGCTCCAGGCACCAGCGCACCAAGCGCGTGCCTGGGGCGGCAAGCCGCGGCCTGCCGGTCGCCGTGAGGGCGGCAGTCAGGTAGCCTTCGGCGGTATGCCTGCGGGAGGTCCGCCGGTCCCGCGGCTTCAGCGGCAATTTGGCGGCAGGTACGCCGAAGGCGCGGGACCGGCGGACCTCCTGCAGGCATGCTGCCAAATCCACGTTACCAGTGGACCTCCCGCAGGCATGCCGCCGAAGGCTGCCTGACTGCCGTGCTTGGGTGCGGCAAAATACATAGAGCCGCCCCTGCCGATGGTCCAGGGACATCTACACCGAACACATCACCGGCCACCGACAGTACCAGGAGGCGTGAGCTGGAGTGACATTGTGCATCGACTACGAGAAAGGGACCGAGAAACTTTCTCCGTTGGACCATATGAACTGGAACCATAAACCCACTGAACGTTAAATCTCCCCAAATGAGGGTCACTCCATCCTCATCATCGTATCCACTCATTATACTCCACACCCGAACATAGCCATTATATGAACATCATACCCTCCTTTCTCAATGTCTGTACTTTGGCCCGGTAATCTTTTACCCCCAATTGGGGATATTGCAGATTATGTATTCCTTACGCCAAAAGATCATAAACCGAACTTCGCACCCCTTGATAATCTGTACGTTATTCCCCGATAACCCGAAACTTCTACACTAAGGCCTGGTCTACACTAGGCTTTTATGTCGAATTTAGCGCCGTTACATCGATTTAACCCTGCACCCGTCCACACCACGAAGCTATTTAGTTCGACATAGAGCTCTCTTAAATTCGACTTCTGTACTCCTCCCCAACGAGAGGAGTAGCGCTAAATTCGACATGGCCATATCGAATTAGGCTAGGTGTGGATGGAAATCGACGCTAATAGCTCCGGGAGCTATCCCACAGTGCACCACTCTGTTGACGCTCTGGACAGCAGT